GCAGAGTGTGTCCAACTCAAAAGCCTGGCGTTCCACAAATATCCAGATCCATCAGAAAGCAAAAAAACTTAAAGAGCAAGTTCCCAGTCTCTCATCAATTTTGACAGCTCAAACCAGACCCGTTTCCTCAGTTCACAATTTCAGGCAAAACATAAGATAAGAGAAGGACAAGGAGAGTCTTGTTGTTTCAGTGATGATTGTCTGCAGAAAGACAACCTTCTGGGCATATGCTGTGGTTCTGTAGCTTATCGTGGGATGGACATCGCCATTGCCTCAAGAGTTATCTCAAGTGCAATTTAATGGATGGTATGCAGTTCATTCTCTCGGAGGTCTGATAGAGGAAGTGCATGAAAGCCTAACTAAATCATGTAGCAGGAATATATGCTTTTCCTACACTGAGCATGTGTTCTGTCCTGTAGATCGTTTGGCACTTCTCTCCCATATTCTAAGCAACAAACAATTTCTGCGATTTAGAGTGGTACTTCTGTAATTGAGATCTATATTTAAAAATGATCTGTATTTAAAATGTGCATATCCAACATACCTTTGATAGCTTTTACCTGGTGCCCTGAAAAGGTGTCTTTGAGTTCTGTGCTTGTGGGCTCTTTTTCGTTGAGAGCAAACTGACCTCACCAGAACGTCAAGCCTCTGATCTATCCTGCAGCCCGAGAGTCTTCACAGTTATCCCTGCAAAGGCAGAGCACAGCTTTGGGAATGATGGTGATCTAAAGTAGGCAATCAAATCTAACTACATGTCTCTAGGAGGGTGGGAGGGAAATGGAGTACACACTGAAAACCCACACAAATAAGGGTGGGACATGCAAACTCCACACAGACAGGTGCTCAAGGCAATCAGAGCCAGTGCCCTGGAACTGTGAGGTGGCAGCTTTAACTGTCACACTGCCCTGCATGCCCAATACTCCATACTCGTGATAATACTGGTGGGTCAAATAACACACACACAGTAGATTGCATTACAGGGAATTATTCATTTTAAGGTTAACACCTGAGTAAAATAGGGTCCTTAAGTCTAACAACTGATTTCTTGTGTTCTATTGACGTGTTGAAGTAAAAAAGAGCAAATGGGTTGATCCAGCAAAATACCCTGCATGGTATTGTACATGGCAGAAGTGCGTAAAAGCAATAGTAACGTAGCATCAACTGTTAAGGTCCAGTAAATTCAAAGGTGAGCTGCTTAAATCTTACGTATGCCCCCTCACATCAAATCAAAAGTTTATCAAATCAAAGTTTATTTATCAAATGCACAACAATACAGCGTGCAGCAGTAGTTGCTGGCAATGAAATGTCTTTAACATCTCCTCCCCTGTTGCCTCGGTTGCTGCTCCAAATAAAAAGAGGATCTCTTCTGATCACAGAGAGTAGCTGTTCTTAAAAAGTGGGCATTTGCAGCTTCCATTGTCACGACTGCCTAGCAACTCGAAGTCCAGCACCTACAGCCGTGCGTCCTTAAGTATCTGTTTTTCCCCCACTGACGCATATTCAGTGCCATGTTTTCGCCATTTCGTTTGATATCAGAGGTTCCTGTTATTCCGTGACTTGCCAAGTACCTGGGAGTGTCTCGCTCATAAAAGGCACTATATTGGAATCAAAGGCGGGCGTAGTAGCTGTCCCGTCACGACACAGTGGTGCTCTGGTCTTCCTGGTACCGATTCCTCTGTGGTTCCTGGCATGGGTCCCGTGACTCGGAGCCTTTGATCTCGAAATATCTGGAACAGAACAATCCCAGGGCTGAGACACGCACTCTGCCCACGAGATGTGTCAGCAGCGCCTTGGCTTTCCTGTTTTTCCCTTTCTTGTGCTCGGTGCCCTATATGGAAGAAAAGCGTGCATTCCTCACATAACCTTAAGGAGTTCCTGCGTCTTCCTAAAGGATACCCCCCCACCCCACCCCATACAAACACGTTTGTATGAGGGCTTCCCATTGACTCTCATTCTATTTTTACTCACAATTTTATACAGTACGGCACTAAAATGAAACTCCACACAAGGTGAAAGTAGACCCTATATAAATAGTCGGGCACTTTGCATTGTTAAAAGAGACATCACCAGGTTGAGATGTAAAAGACATTAGACTTGCGCAGACCACCTCTGTGCTTTGCTCAAGAGGTATTGTCATTATACGGACCTTTTGTCGAATTCTTGTCCACCTGCACACACACACACATGCCCCTGTTCTTGCATTGCTAACTTTTGACAAGACAGGTCATCATCACTGTCACCATCTCAGCTCACAGTCTTAATGACGGCTGTCTGAAACCATCCCACAGTAGGAAACAGAATGACTTTTCCTCTGTTGCCTTCTAGCCCAGAAAAGCATTGGCAGCTCAAACTTCTGGCTACACAAAGCACTGTGAAGGAGATACTGATTGCAAGAAAGAATGTAAGAAAAGACTTGAACAGAAAAGCCCGAGAATACTCACAATACACCCCTTAGCCTTAAGATCAGAAAGTAGAATTATCCTCACTTATTGAGCATCTCCCTCGACAGATTGAGTACCCTCTTCTACCATCTGAAGCTCAGGTTTGGATGCCTTTCTGAATAATCACATCTACTGTAGATACCAGCCACAACACTTCAGACTTGACTGTTGTAAGATCATCATCAATGTCCTGGCCTCCTTCTCATTTATCTCAACTGCATCAGGGAGGAGATAATATCTGTCAGAGTGAGATTTAGATGCAAAAGTCAAAGAGTAATAATTCCGTTAGCTTTGTTATCATTATTATTATTGTTGTTAGCAAGACAGTAATATATAGTATAACAATATAGATTATACATTTTCTTATATAAATAATACTGTATAAAAAGCAATAGCTTTTCCACAGTGTGCGCTAGTTTTCTCTCGCTGTCCAAAAACATAATGGTAGGTTAACTGGCTACTGAGAAATTTGGTCCTGGTTGTGAATATAACTGTGTCTGCCCTCTGATGGATTGGCATGCCATCTGGGATGAAAAAAAGGGATGGATTTTATGCCTAAAAAAGCATCAACAGGGCTAAACAAAATTTTTCTTCTGCCAACTACCAATCTGCAGTTCACTCCAATGCAGACTGAAACCCTTTGATTTTGCACTGAGCTCTTTTCAGATCAGACAAGATTAAAGTAAATGTGTTCACCTGCATAGTTTCAGCACAGTGTCAAAAATAAAATTGAAGTTAAATTTATTTATTTTGTTGCAAGACAAAGAATAAAGTAAAAAATAAACTGCCTCTGGGAAAAAAAGATTTGGCTTTCAATTTCCTTGCTTTAAAAAAGATTTAAAGTAAATTCTTGTTTAAGAATTGTTTAAGTTCGTTTTAAGCTTTGGAAGTAGCATACATCTGGAGAATGAGAAATTGGAGGGAAAATTAAGCCAATTTGAACCATTTTCTGCCAATACACACAACAGCATTTTAAAAATGGCTTGCATTTCAGTAAATGCCTCCAGTTTTTCACAATAGCACCTGAGGCCAGGATGTGAAATTGTAGCTCTTTTTGCTTCAGCGGGAAGAACTACAAATCCTAGGAAGCCGTTAGACTGCCAATACGTCCATCTAATTTTAAAAGAGGCACATCTGTTCCATATTTAATGTGTTCCTCAATGTGTGGAAGGGTGTGGTAGGCTCAGCTCTGACATCCCTGTTAACATGAGGTCTTTCAGTGAGAGCAGGTTTCCATAGAAACCAAACTCTCTGAGGGACAAGACATAATGTTTCTGGGACAATTGTGTCTTTTTTGTTATCAGAGACCTTCTGAACGGCTGAGAGGGACAAGCACAAGACTGTGCAAAAGATCTGAGAGACTGTTCGTTAAAAGAAAAAGCCTGTGGATGTGGCCGTTAAGTGTAGGAGCCATCCAAAGTCCAGTGACTTGAGATACTTTTAGTGTAGGCAGTAGAGAGAGAACTAGGCTTTTGTTTGTCCTGCATTTCAGAGCTCCTGTAAACTTACCGGAAAATGCTATTGTAAATAAAGCAACTTGGCATCTTGATTAAAAGCCCATTGTGTCGACAGTTCTTCTTCTGCTAATGGACAAGCACTAGGGAGCCTAGCTGTGACGGAGAGCATCCCTGACTGTCGCAGTAAATCTAATTAAGCATTGTAAGATTGAGCCTGATATACAAAATTATTTTTTTTTAAAAACACATCTACCAAATAAGGGTTTCCCAGCTCTAGTCATCACTGTTAATTGGGTTTCTCTGTAGTTTGGATCCATTAAGCCTAGTCTTTTTTCCCTAAATCTTCACAGTTAAAGAGAATTAAAAACCTGCTGGGCTACATATCTCTGGGACAAGACTGGGACCCCTGCTTCTGAGACAAATCGTGTCCTCTGACGCAAACTCTTGTCCTCTCAGTAATCTTGTATTTACTTTACAAACCAATCCTTTTCATCTCTGCGGCGGCTGGTGTCAAAGCCCATTTCTATGGATTCCAGACTCCTCCCAAACTCCCCTAAGGTGAATCCCGAGTCTCTGTACATATGGTCACGTTAAATTGGCAATTAATTTGGCCATTTAACCCGACCACATTCCCAGCTGGATTCTCCTCCCATTAGGTCAGACCTCCTCTTGCTGAGCACACTCTTCCACATTTTCACAAGGCTGTGCCACTAGTGCTGAACATATAAAAACCCCAACCTCCGGATTAGGAGGTTTCAACAACTGCCTGAAAAAAAAAACAAAATAAACAGCTAAGACATCACCTGCACCTGACCGGGTTTAATACTTGTATTTCCTACATGGGTTGAATACTTTTTCAGGATTCTATAACTTAGGGCTATGGGGGAAAACCACTCAGTTTTAAAAGCAGTACCAAGGCAGGTTCTCCTACTTCAGGAGTGTCCTTATGTGGATGCCTCGACCGACGACAAGCACATTACAGAGCTTTGTGGCCAACATCCTTTGCAACCGAAAGAACGTGTGCCTGGGCTGACCCTTCAAGGATACACAAATCCAAAAGGTCTGAAGAAAACTGTGTAGAAACAATCACCTGAAAACACTGCTTGAAAAAAATAAATTTTATTTCAAAGGCGAATACATACTTTGTCCCACACTAGTAAACATAAAAAAACAACAAAATTCATAAAACTCTATTAAGAACCACGTATAAAAAAAGGTCATGCCATGCCATACTACTTTATGCTCAGCATTAAAGTGTGAACAGCAATCTGCCTTTAAACAGGTCACTGGAGCCTCTTGGATCCCTCAAGGCTGGTGCAGTTCTGGACATCCCCAACTTTTAAATAGGTCCATATTCTCTCTTCCCAGAATGATACACTTTTCCACAATGGCTCTTCCCTGTGCCTCCTGGTTTTCAGCATGTTATCCTGGGGATCGGCCCAGCTGGAGACTCCCTGAGTTGAGGACATTGACTTCGGTGTCCGCACGGTCTGCGGGTCTACTGGCCCCCTCTACCTTCGTCCCATCCGCAGCGAGCCGACACCCCTCATCTTCAGACAGTCCCTGCTGTCCTTCACCTGCAACGAGCCCGCGGTTCAGGTCAGAAAGAAGCCCACCAGTGGGTCAGACAGCCAGGGCTTGAGGTGCCCTGGGACAGTTACAACTGGTGAGGTACAGAAGGGCCCGACTGAGCGAGTGTTACTGTGGGCTGAAAGCATGAACCAGTGACAACAGGGATATTAATATAACCCTAATGCTCTTGAATTGCAAGAAGATAAGGTAAGATCTCTCCATTGGGCATACACAATTTCTCGTTTTAGGAATTGGAATACCCCAACTTGCTCTCCATGAGACACACAGACAGGGAGAGAAGCCGGGGGTCAGAGTGCAGAGCCAGTCATTTATACAGCACCCCTGGAGCAGCTGGGGTTAAGGGCCTTGCTCAGGAGCCCAACGGAGTAGGATTTCTCAGCCGGCCGCTGCATACGAACCGGCAACCTTCCAGCCACAGGCGCTTAGCTACTGAGCCACCGCAGCGCCGCCTTAACATTAAACACTTTTTGAAGAACGTTTTAACATTTAGTATTTTTTGAAGAACAGTAGCTAATGCTGCAAAACAAAAGAAAAGCGATCTGCCGTGTAATAACGGGAAATTTAGACTGCGATTTCAGTTGGTGTATTATTGCTAAACAGTTACAGTAGGTGGCCGTGGTGTTGTCATTTGACAACCTGATCTATAACAACACTAGAGATAAAATATGAAGCAACGACGTTTTCTTCGGCTTCAAGGTTTAAAGGCTAAGAGCAGATTTTACAAAGCCAGGAGCTGCCAACGTCATCTGAACCCAGTGCTTAATTTTAACATATTGCGAATTATTTAGTTTAAATGTGAGAAAGTTTGGATTTCCTATTTACCTTTCTTTTTTTTTCTTTGGTTGTGAAACCTGTGTTACATTTTGTTTAACTTTATATAAACAAACACTATGAAAATATTTTAACACGGCCCCCTTAAAAACTGAGGTGATGCGACATTTTCGAGACGTTTATCCTGTCAATAAACTTTATATAAAAATAATTTCTATGTAGCTCTCCGACTTGGACGCAAGGTCCTCAGGAAACTGGAATATGAAAATGTAGGGATGGAGAGAACACCCAGTTAGAGAAATAAGGAACAATTTTAGCGCAAGACCAAAAAGCGTTTTAACATGTAGCATTTTTTTGAAGAACATTAACTAATACTGCAAAACAAAATGTAATGTTTTAAATTGATTTCCAGCAGAACGTCTTAATGCTGGTACGTCATTTAAAAGTTTACTGTCTGCTGTCATCTGAAAATATTAAATATATTAAATATTTTGATTTTGGAATTTTGGCATGATCATAAAATAAATTTAGTTCTTTTAAATAGTTTGTTTAAATGTAGTTCTTTTTAAAAGTTTACGACTCTAGAGGTTTGAAATAAATATCCTAATCTTCTGACTTCTGGAATTTTATTTTTTTATTATTTTGCCGCTTTAATTGTTAAAAACAAGCATGACGTATCGAAGATTATTGATTGATTTCAAGTCCAACTTTGAACATTAATCACTGGAGATACGTTTAAATTTAGTATAGTATTGTTAAATTAGCCTGACGTTTTCCTGACCAAATTAAGCATTCAAACTGCGTGCATTGCGTTAACCTGCCGTTCGAGAGACAAAGGTAATTATGAAACAATTCTTAGGCTTATTTTGTTCGGTGAAAGTGCTAAACCTACAGTAGGTCAATATTTCAGCCCACAGGTCATTTTAACTGTAGCGTTTTATTAGTCCTGTAGTGCCAAACTGATTTCAGAAAGACGTCGACGATAGAAAGCTTGGTTCTAATAAATGAACGCTGTGAACGTATTCTATTAGAATGGTATCAAATGGAAACACTAAACTGTAGCATCTCCAAGCATGTCTGCCCCTTGTGCAGGATGTGTAGCCTAAGAAACTCCACTGGTACAGTATGTATAACATCGCGCAGATTTTGCAATCCTAAAGTTTTAGAACATTTAAGTTAACAGCTGCCTGTCAGTTCTTAGTTCTGAATATTGTATCCTCTCTCTTAGGGGGACAATATTATAACAGGTACTAAAAAACATATTGCTTTATCTAGACAGTATTTGTATCTGTTTTGCTAAGTGTAGCCAATTCTTCCGTTTACACTGAGTGAACACTGTAAATGAAAAAGGTGACAAGGTTAGCTTTTCATTTCCTGTAGTAAAAGGTGTGGTACAGACTTCTGATAGAGGGAAATACTATGTAATAAACAATGCATATATTAATATTCCTGCGGCATATCAAACATTGTACATCCGCAGAAAGGAATTTTATTTCTGTATTGACTTCAGTCTTCGCTTATGTTAAGAAGAGGAAGAAATAACATGAATGAAACCGGTGCGATAATCAATGTGGAGAGAAAAAATCCGGTTAATGCCACGTTCGGATTTATTTCCCGTTCAGGGTTATTTTGTCGTAAAATAGTTTAGTATTGGATTAAAACAAGAATAGTAACGACGCGGGTGAATGCAAGAATATTAAGTAATGTATTGTAGTAATATTAATTTACTTTAAATTTAGCAGGCGATACTGAATGCAGTAGTCCGTTTGAGAAGAAGTCATCTATATTTAAAAAAATGCTATCCTCTGGGTAACATTTTTCCTTATGTTTATCTGTACGCGCTGACAGTGAATCAACTAATGACAAACAGACTTTTGTTATATTGCTTGGAAAGCTTCCAGGAATGGTCAGCGAAAGGTTCTTCTCCCCCCACGGTAGGGCTAAAGATCTCAAAATCCCTTTGCCGGGATTATAAGAAACACCTGCCGTTCGCGCGGTTGAAGGCAATGTTAAGGATGGCGGTATGGGCATCGATGGCGTCAAATTGATCAGTCGGTACATGCTGCTGCGCTCACATTGACGTGAACGCGCAGGTGGGGCTCCACAGACTCACAGGGACACGCAAGGACCCACGCTTACCCCTTTTCTCTGGCTGCTGAGGCAGAAGGTGCAGATGGTCCGGGGCTGCCTTCCTTCTCCATCTCCCTGCGCGCCGTACACCGCGCTGAGACAGGGCTGGCTGTCCTCGCAGCCGTCTCCGAGCAAGAGCACGTTGGCCAGATGAGAGATGTAGCTGGAGGCCAGGCGCAGTGTCTCTATCTTTGACAGCTTTCTGTCCACCGGCTCGGTGGGAATAAGGGTCCGGAGCGCGGTGAACGCCGTGTTGACGCTTTGGGTTCGGTCCCTCTCCCTGGCGTTGGCCGCATGTCGCTGCTTGACCACGACCACCCCGCCGACCCCGGCCTTTCGGGACATTCTCCGCCGTTTGTCGGCTCCGGCGCAGCAGCCGTAGCTCTGGTCGGAGCTGCCGTCGCTCTCGCTGCGGTTCTCCTCGTCCTCCGACATCATGCTGAGGTCGGGGTAGAGGAGATGAGTTGCCATAGGCCGCAGCATGGCGAATGCCGTCATCGAGAGAGCTGCCGGGGTCTTCGCCAACGGACCAGAAGCTGTTTCCCCTTATGTCAGATTCTTCAGGAGGCGCGCACGAAAAGGCAGGAGAAAAAAAAAACACAGGCTAACAAAACAATCCCCTCTTGAAAACGTCAGTGGAAATGTTTGATTGACACCTTTTTCTTTCCCCTTTTTTAAACGAAAGATTATTTTTTTTGTGTGGGTGAGAGACCAGCTCTACAGTTACGAGCCACCGCCGGTATATCCCCTTAAGACAGGTCGGTCCAGCGCTCTGCAGGCTCAGCGGCCGGCGGAGCGCCTCAGCGGACGTCTTATACCGCAAGGGGAGGGGTTGCAGCAGACATGCAAATCCAATCGGACAGAGAAAATCTCCCATCCGAATATCCAGCTATCAAACACTTAACTCTGACTCAGGCTTTCATCTTGCACCAACTGTATCAAGAGCTCTCTAAACCCATTTTCCCCTTAAGGGTGTATTTATTGCACGAATATTAAAAATGGCTGTTAATGCAACAGTCTCTTTATTTGGTTATTATTGTCATTCAGAGCTGTTTATCGATGAACAAAAAGTAGGATAAGCGGTTTAGAGCGACAGCCATCACAGCACTTGCTATTTTCCTTATCAGTGAGCAGATTTAAAAACAAAAAGGTCGTGTTGCACCCTTGTGAATTGCACTTGCTCTTTTGTATTGTTTTGGGGGGCGGGAATATTACATCTGTATTTGCAATTGAAAGGGGATTAATAGCTGCCTTATTTCAGTCGTCAGCAAAAAGTTTACAGTATAATTAAAATCCGTTAGAAATACAATAATATCAAAAGCCAATAATATCAAGCGCTTCAAAGGGTCTCCGCTGCACGGGTTTTAATATCAACTCACTAGCGAGAGGGGGAGTTACAATATACAGTAAATCCGTTCTCTGAGATTTGTTAGCGGAAAATTGATTCTTGACAGTTATATTATTGCTAGTATTTTATTCTTGTTTTAAAAAAATCTGAATGCTTGTTTCTGTTGACACCATTTCTGTATAAGTGAACTAAAGATCTGGTCTTGGTTCACTGGTGAATTATTTCACTTTGTTTCAGTAGTTAATTATTGTTGTGTTGCTTCCTATGCAGTCTTAATGAGAGGAATTTGAAATGTTTTACACATTTCAGTCTCGCCACCCAGGATAACGCGTTGTACAGGACTGGACTGGGACTGGGAATATCTGCCGAGGAGAATAATAGTAGTTTAATTTCTCTTAAAATATCAATTCGATTTTTTTTTGCACGCAATAAGCATTTTTAAATACTATTTATACAAACACCACACTTTAAAATCTGGCTTTGGTAATACATTGAGAAAGCGGACCGACAGGAGAATGTTTTTTTTAACCTACTCATTTCTTAAACGATATTATATTTAATAGACCTATGGTTTACCATTATAAATTGTATTTTACAGGTATACAGTTACTGCATATTCGCCGTAAAAAAGCATAACTCTATCTGTAAATAATACTAAAAGGAACGCAGGAATTGTTGTATATTAGAATTTAATGGAACTGTTCGTTTGTGAAGTAATTTCACGTAGAAAAACACTTTGTGTCGGTATTATACACATTTAATTTGGGTCTCTGTATTTCAGTTTAATTCCGCACGAAATCTACGGTTTTAAAAGAAAAAAATAAGTTAGATTAATCGTGTTTTTGCTTTAGCCAATATTTTAATGATACAGGACAAACGTTACACATTCTACGTCTTTTAAATATGGTAATTGTATTAAAAGTCAATCATTAGTATTAGAATAATAAGAAATGGTATTCTGTAAGATAATTCAGGTTTGTATGTATTGTTTTACTTTTGATGTGTAAAATAACAGTTATTGCGAGGGTTATACAAAAAGCAAATATATTAGTGGAGGGGAAACGAACGAAACGCACAGTTTAACCATTATTTGCGTATTCAGACTAACTGCATTTACAGGGAAGAGGTTCGCTTTCTAAATGACCATTCCACAGGAAAAAGTAGTTTTTTTCCCCGTTGCTCTCTTTTCGAAATGCATATCATGAAATATTTTGCTGTTGGCGAATGAATAACAATTTAACTTCTATTGGCAAAACGGGGAAACCCAACAAATATTTCTGAGAAAATCTACTCTCAAGGTTAAAATGGTGTTTTTCGCCAGTAAAATCATGCGTGATTAATTATATTTGGAATACAAGCATGCTGTATTTACATGTAAAACATGCCATTTTCCTTGAAATCCCTGCCACAGTTTAACCTGCCAGTTTAATACCGCCTCCTAATCATCACTGCCACAAAGTGAGGTACAAGTATTAAGCTTGTAGTCGTTGGTACTGTACCTAGCAGGAGCTAGATTCTAAACAAACTGAAACCGTCGGGTTTCGTGCCAGAGAGCGAATACAATCCCAGTAGGTTAATTACATTTTATAATGTGCAGAAGCAAGCTGTGTTTTGTAATATAATGAAAAATTCCCAGTCACGAAAACTGAACCTAAATGACCTAGCAGGGGAGACGTCATTCATGGCTAATTACTCTCACAATAGACTGTGTTTTGTAGAACACATTGTTACCATTTTTTCCTTCCCTTATGTAGACCTACTCTGATTTTAAAAAAACATCCATAAAACTGTACGTTGATTACCACAACCCTGCTGTTATGAGTAAACTCTACTTTTCTTCCAAAATAAACTTCACATTCATGCAGATATTTGCTTGAAACGCAGTCTCTTAACAAAACTCTGCTACCGATTGCCCTTGACTGCTAGCCCAGACTAACCCAAGCCTTGCTCCTACAAAGGATAACTTTAAACAATGTTGTCAAGAAAGCCAGTGCACTCCGGCACATCTGAAATACTGAAATCTTACTACAGTGTGCACACTGGAGAGCAAGCAGATCAGATGAATACAATATCACCTGGGTGAGATACAGTACCACAGCACGACTGCTGATAGAGACTGCATCGCCCTGAAGGCTGTGGGTGCAGTGTAGCAGTGCCACAGTGCTGCAGTGTAGCAGTGTCACAGTGCCACAGTGGTGCAGTGTAGCAGTGTCACAGTGCCACAGTGCCGCAGTGTAGCAGTGTCACAGTGTCACAGTGTCACAGTGTAGCAGTGTCGCAGTGCCACAGTGCCGCAGTGCCACAGTGCCACAGTGCCACATTGGTGCAGTGCAGCAGTGCCACAGTGCCGCAGTGTCACGGTGTCACAGTGCCACAGCGCTGCAGTGTAGCAGTGCTGCAGTGTAGCGGTTTTGCAGTGCCGCAGTGCTGCAGTGCTGCAGTGTAGCAGTGTAGCAGTGCCGCAGTGCAGCGGTGTCGCAGTGCCACAGTGCTGCAGTGTAGCGGTGTCGCAGTGCCGCAGTGCCGCAGTGTAGCAGTGTAGCAGTGTAGCAGTGCTACAGCGCTGCAGTGTAGCGGTGTACCGGTGTCGCAGTGCCACAGTGCCACAGAGTAGCAGTGTAGCAGTGTAGCGGTGTCGCAGTGCCACAGTACTGCAGTGTAGCAGTGTAGCAGTGTAGCAGTGCCACAGCGCTGCAGTGTAGCAGTGTAGCAGTGTAGCAGTGCCACAGCGCTGCAGTGTAGCGGTGTCGCAGTGCCACAGCGCTGCAGTGTAGTGTCTAAGGAGTGCAGTGTTGCAGACTGAGTGTGTGGATGTCACGCTGAGGGCTCTGGGACAGGTTTATGGTCTTATTGCCCCACCCCCACCCCGCCCCCCTACCGCTGAGGTTTGTTTTTCTTCAGTGGCACAAACTGAGCGCTTGGCAGAAGGCGACGTGCACGGCCAGCTGCAGGTGTGAAGTCTGTGTATTTCTCTTAGGACGGGAGAGTAGTAGAGAGCAGAGGAGTTTAGTGCCATATGTACAGTACATGTACTTTGTCATCCTTAATCGCACTGATCTCTGAGGACATACGCAGTACTACAGACAACACCACACACTGTAGACAGTACATTACAAACATAATAAATAATAACAACAGGACCAATAAAGGACATGCATACAGTATGTAGTAGTGAGAATAAAATATGGTAGACCATGCAAAAAGTAAGCATAGTGCAGATGTGTATTGAGCCTGAGGCATTGCAGTTAGCTGTTAAGGATGCACACTGCAGTTGGATAGACACTGTTCTTGAGCCTAGCGGTCTGTACAGCTTTGCCAGAGCGCAGGGGGGGGGGGGCAGTTTGTGGCCAGGATGGTTGGGATCAAGAATGATGGATGAGGCTTCATTGCGACAGCGGATGGTGTGAATCTCACCGACTGATGGTAGAGTCATTGCTCCTTAGTAATGATGTTTCGATGGTAATGATGATGGAGTCATTGTTTCTCAGATCCCTAAGCATTCCGCAGATTAGGAGCAAGACAGCAGTAGGCCCTGTCACCAAAGGATCAGCTTTTTTAGTGTGGAAGTGTAAAACAAGGCAGGACCTAGCAATTGAAACCCAAAATAAGGATCTACTGTAAATGAGACCACAAATATAATCATTCATGTTTTCCTGACACAGGATCTGGTAGTTAACCAATGCTACCAATTCCAAACTATTTTAATCTACTTCCAGCAACTAAGGCTGTATTTTTATTTTTCATTTTTTATGCTACCATGACTCTAAAATGTTTCTCATTATTTTTGAATACATAAACTATTATTTTTAAGCACACTGCATGATGCCTTTGAGATTTTTAGTGTAAACAATGGAATACACTATTTTTTATTTATACTGTACGAGGAGTACATTTTAAATTCTGGGCTGTGTGAAATACCAGGACATTGTGGCCAGTGCACACGAGTTTCTTTTAAAAACAAAGCTGTGGTGATAGAAGCTAAGTACTTAGTATCTTAAAACATATATACTTTAACTGCAGCATTTTGGGGCGTTTGGTGTAATAAATCTTAAGCACATGCAATTAAAATAGAAGCACATGATTTAGTTCTGGGACATTAATTTAGAGTTTGGTAATTTTATTAGGATTTTTAAAGATAATAGATTATTAGTTTAAACTAGAACTAAATCTCAAATTATAATGAAAAGCATTTAGACAATTAAATTAGTCATACTCCAATGTAGACCACAAAAACTAATGATGTTCCTCCTCTACAGTAAGTATCAAAAGGTAACGAGATTACACCACATTTCTGCTGTGTTTTCAGTAATGATTGAATCTCTGTTATGACAAACACAGGATGATTAAGACTGAGCGTAATGGCAAAGGAATGTTTGCATTTTGATCAAACCCTTTCCCCTTTCGGAGTATCTGATATGTCCTCTGACCTCTCTCAGTTTGTGTTGGCAACAGCGCATCTTGCTGTCAAGAGTTTCGCCTGTCAATTTGCGCAGTACACACATGACGCTCTCTGATTATCGCTGCTTCAGTTGGAAAGAGCAAAACTGGAGTCTTCGCCAATGAAGCTCAGCTTTATCGTGACCCTCTGGGAGGTCAAACTCCTGTTTCCAGCTCTATTCTCTGCGTGCATTGTTATCATCAAAGTTCATGGGCCAGCTGTCAGCAGTGGCTTGTCAGACAGGGTCATTGCTGTAGGTGCCCTGGAGATCCGTCAAGATCTCTTTCAGATCTGAAATTTCAGACACCTTTGACACTGTAATCTATCCACAACGGGAACAGTTTACAAGATACAGGTCAAATATCAAACTCACGGTAACCCCACAGAAAAACTATAAAAAAATTGTGTTAAATGCAGAAGATGTTTTTTTTCCCCAATATAGTTTAAAGACGCAGAAAGTATTTTTGACTGAAGATAAATCATCGGCTGCTCCCTGTCCTTGGATTATTAACAGTTGTTTTGTGTTCCAAAAACAATAAAACGACAAAGATTATTACAATAATTCTTCTGTCCTGTCTTCCATGTTTTTGAAATTAACATAACAATGAAAGACTTACACGAATGTGCTTGTTACAGGAAATAAAATTGCTGGGCTATAGGAAATAAAATAGCTACAAAAATTAATATGGACTTCCTCAAGATTCTGCAAGATTGTAACAATAGACCCCAGAACATAAAAACCTTCCTCTTAAACTTGAAACATATTAATCAACATTCCATTCAAACAGTTGGCTTCCTAGGAAAAGTTTGAAAAGTAGAGCATTACAGTTATTCTTTGGTTTTCTACAAACTGAGCCTTGCCTTTCAATGAACAACTTTCACTGAAACTGACTATTTTTCCAACAGCAGATCGAAGAGTCTGGACCTCATTTTGCTAAGTGGGCTGTGGCCATTACCGTATTTTGCCATTGCACCTGATACCATGTGAATTCAATTCTGTAGGTATTACAACTGATTTGCTGTCGTACTGCAGTAGCCACTTTACTGGAGTAAAGATCTTGAAAAGACATGATGTTATTATTGTAGGTTTCTTGTCCCCAGCTGGTTTGTACATCTGTCAAAGTTACACAAAATGGTAAGATGACAGGTCATGCATTTCCTGCCTTTCCGATACAGGGCACGTTACAGTTTTAGTGTTGTAATTCAGCCCTTTGTAAGCAGTAGCACAGCTCTAATGATCCCCAAAGAGTACAAAGCAAGGAAAGTGGTCAGCTCGTCTTACTCAGTGATTTAAGTCCACCTCTAACTGAAGTGGGAACTTTAGGTTAGGTGACTCCCATCTGTCCCACCTGTATACAC